TCTCTCTCTCTCTTTATCTCTCTCTCTCTCTCTCTCTCGAGTGTTGGGTGTCTTCCAAATGCGTGACACTCTTGTGATGAGCACTCAGTGTATGTTTGTGTCAAAAAGACGTCTATTTCTTGAATCTCTGCCACAGAATAAGAGGCAAAAAATGCTAAAACGATAAGAAAAGTGTCTTTTATTCATATATTTACTTAAGAGAAACGCTTTGAAAACAAGAAAAAGTGCCCAAAAAACTAAGTGAAAGCCTACTTATGAATGCCATCACTTCTCTGCCATATTATATATTATTCTTTAAAATTTTTATTTTCAAAAGTATTTAAAAGAAATTTTTGATCACTTTTACGATGATATAATTTATTACATGCTAAGCAAAAAACAAAGACTTTGTGTCTTTCATAACTAATTCTAAGCCAAACGGTATATCAATCATTAGAAATCATTTTGAGATTACGGTTGAGTTGATCTGAATTTACTTAACACTAATGATAAGAAAGTAAAATTCTTTTCGTAGAGATTATTGCATCAGAAATATGCAAATTTTCAATTTAATTATTGCAATCCCTGTAATCATTTGATCTCAATGTTCAACATTTTTTAATTGCCATTTTTAGAGTAGTGCAAAAATGACTTGACACTTAAAATAAAATTAAAATTTCCAACATTCAATGAATAACACAATTAATTGGAAACTTGTTAACCAAATAATTATATTAAATAAGAGTTATGTTAAAACTTTTAACTTTTAAAATTGAAACACAACTTTTAATCGATGACTGCATACAAACATAACTGTAATTAAAATTATTTTTAAGTCCAAAAACATTTTATGCAAACTTTGTATAAAAATAGTTAAACATTTGTTAATCTATACATTGAATGTCAAAATAGTCTTATACTTTCAAATCTTATGTTTTTTGTTTTGTGCACTTGTTTTTCACAATTTCCCTACACTTACACCACTGCCTAAGCCCGAGCACTGGTAGGCAGTACTCGAGAGCACTGGTATATCGCACTTGACATCATTAATTGAGAGGCAGATTCTATTTCGAGGAATATTCTTGAATTCAGGACTTTTCGTAAAAAACTAAACCCCAAACACACGGCTGAAAGACTCAAAAGATTTTTTTTGAAAGACTCGCGAAACTGAACACAAACTCTGAGCCAAACATTCAATAAGTAATTTACTCTTTAAGAGAAGAGTTACTGTGCTTTTGATTAATACAAACTTTTCACAAGAATTTCGTGTATTATTTTGGCCTTATTTTAGTGACAATTTGTATGAGTTTTATGATTCTGTTCTTCGAGGATGAAGTGGTTTTTCTCGAAGTAATTTGTATCGTATTTTTGACGGTCATATTTGTGCGAATATTTGATTTGATTAGTGATCGCTACAAAGTAGACATCAATTTGTTGGCCATTATGGGCAATATTATTTCCCGAATCACTGGAAGTAATGATAATAACAGAGGGGATAATATCACAAGAAGTAGTTTTAGACACAAGTCTAAGCGTAAGTCAAATTGATATCTTAATTTTTGTAGTCATAATTTTTCCTAAATCAATTTGTTAATTTGCAATAAACTTAAAAATAGTTTTTTGTATTTAGAAATGTGTTTATGTTATTAGCAAATGAGATAATAATGACAACAAAACAACTTTTAAAATAACACATAAATTAGAGACTAATTTTCACTTTAGGTTAAAGTCTTTAAGCTATTTGTGAATAACCTTTCACTACATGTTTACCACTATTGACACCCAAATAAATTTATATCATATGCATAATTAATTAGTAATTTATTTTACTAAATATTTAATTTCTTAATTAGAAATCAAGAGATTTCTGTAAATTGCGATTTTTATAAAAAGCATTAATTGCTTTTATCACATGAAACACAAACCCCTTTTAGTGCAAAAATAGCACTAAAATAAGAAATGAATAAATTATAGGAGAGAAGAGATAAAAACAGATGACGTTTATTAAGCTCTTGAACTTAAACTGAAGTTCAAACCAAACTAAATCTTTCGTAAAAATACATTTTGATATTTGTCTCGAAAAATCCAGTATTGGATGCATTGCTAGGAAATGTATTTTTCATATTTTCATCCATAGTTTTAGTGGAAAATGTGTTTAAAAGGCTTTAAGTTTTCTTCCCGTTTCTCAATAATGACATTTACATATGGTTTATATCAAATGTATAATAACTTTATTTTCATAACATTTGTAGAAATCAACATAACATCAAAAATCTATTTATTTTTATCGCACATTAAATACAAGAAAAATAACACAAAAATCCATAAAAATTTAAATCCAGAAAACTCTTGTCTTAACAGTTAGTCATAAAAATATTTATTTTTCGCATTTTAATGAATTCTTTAGAAATTTAATAAATATTTAAATCATATGTAACTCCAGTGATAAATATAAGAAACAGTTGAGACCATTATCCCTGAACATTTGGCGCCCAATTAGTAGTTTTTATGCGACAAATGTTTACTGAATTTATATACAAATTTGTATATCAGTTAAGAATTGGTGCCATAAATTCGCCCATTATTTGAGATATCATACAAATATTTGACAAATTAATTGCTACACAAATCACATAAATTTCATTCACCACCCGATTCTAGTTAAAAATAAAAAATTGTTATAATATGATAATATATCATTGGATTTATTTGGAAATTATATATTGTATTGTTTTGTATAAAGCATTTAATGCATAATTTTGCATATATTATACAGGTTTTCACAGTTAATCCTGTATGAAAATTTTCACGATTACGCTAAATCTATACAATATCTCTGGTTAAAGGAATTATTGATATGTTAGTTAAACTCATGTCTTGTTTTAGTGCTAATATATTTTAAGGACAACTTGTTTAATGTGAAAATTTATTTAAATTTATCAATATTTTTTTTAAATTATCAATTAATACATTTTATATAAAACTCAAATGAGATGTTAATATTTGTTTAAGCATTCTATTGATTCTTTGTAATTGTATATTGAATTCAATTAAAACTTTTCTTATAAAACTTTTTTAAGGTTAATATTTTTGTTTAGTAAATAAACTTTTTCAATTTATTTAACTGATCATTTATTTAGTTAAAAGTTTGAGAATAATTAAATATTTATTTAAAAAATGAAAAATCTTTCATTTTGTTGGGAAATTATTTTTACATTCTCTCTAAATGTTAAGATTATTTATTTTATACATTTAGCTGTCAACTCAAATGAAATAGCACCCTTCAAACTGTTTATAAATACTATTAAAAATTTAATTGCAAATCAATAATACAGTAATTGATGACAAAAAATTAATATTTTATTTAGTAATAAATTAATTGAATATTTATTTTATATATTAAAATTTTGTTAACTAATGGTGTTTTCTCACAAATATTTTCCACTTTAACGATTATATTAATGATACAGGTATTACATATAATATCTTAATTTGAGTTTTTAACACTTATATTTGCAAAATTGCTATCATTTTCGAGACATAATAATTTCATATACATATCTGAATATCAAAGTTAAATATAGTTTATGATAAAAACAAATTTTGTCTGATTTTTTTCAAAAGCCATTCATTGACTGATAGTCTGGTTTCAAAGACCCATTAATAAAAAAATTGAGTTTTAAAAAACTTTTTTCTTAATGGGTTTGCGATCAAAAGGGAGCACTCGATCCCTCAGTCACTGGTGTTTGAGCTCACAATTCATAACTCCATTCATAACTACCAAAACTATTCAGTACTTGTTGTTTGTGAACACAGATATTATATATATATATATATGTTGAGAGAATATTTGCAAAAATTTATTTATAGCCAAAAGACTTCTACCGTTAGTGTGAGAGTAGAGTCGCGAAGACATTACGAGAAGTCTAACGAAAAAAGAGTGAGAAATGAGAAGAAATTTTTGTTTTTAGACTACTTTTCTTGAACATACAGTTTGAGTAGTTTTGTGAAGTGTTTAGGAATAGGGAGTGAGTGCTGAGCAAACCGTTCGCCCAATCAGTGCCTATGAGACTCGTATACGAGTCATACATACTGTACATACTGTGGTGTTTAGTGTACGCTATTATGTGGTGAACGCCGTAATCGTGTGTTAATATCACAACAATTTTCATTGATTTCGTAGAGAAACTCAAGAATCAGTAGTTTTTTGTGTTTGTCTGTCGAAAAAGAGTGAATTTTTTGATGAGAATTGAGTTTTTTCTTCAAATCATTGGCGTACAGAATAATGGGTTGTTTTTTCTCTATATTCCGTTTTGGCACTTATGTAGTCAAAGAGAGTAAGTTTTTGTTTTGTATGCTATTTTTTATTCATACATTTCCCTTACGATTTGTTTTTTCATTACGGAATTTCTCTCTGATTATTATAATGAGACAAATTGTTGAGAAGTCACGAAATTGTATTTGTATTGTCAAACATATGTCTCTGGTTTTGAATTGTCAGTCAAATGGAAAATCTTATATAAATTCCAAAACAAATGATTTGCAGTTTTTTGCCCAAAGGTTTTTACACAACTCTTTGATATACAGAATAAACAACTTTTTATTGAATTCAATCCAGATGACTAATGTTTTGTATTCAGTATGAGATTTGTTTGAATTTTAATCCGATTATTAATATCATAAATATTGTCTGACTTTTAAACTATATTTCTGTAATTGTAGTCTAAATTTTTAAAATTACTTTTAAATAATATATAATTCATTGACATATTAAAAATTATAGTAATTATAAGCGAGCCGTAGGCTGTAATCTACAGACCATTTAAAATACACTATTTTTATCGGAAAAAAGTTGTCATATTATTGATAATATTTTATGCGAGAAATTTTTTAATAAAGTTTTTGAGTTGAAAAACACCACTTTTTGTGTTCTATATATATATATATATAATCGATTCAAATATAAACACTTAAAGCATTTGTTGAGATAACATAAGTATCATAAGGTTTTGTGTCTCGGTATCTCTCGCTAATCAATATTTTATATAAACATTCAAATTTGCAAATATTTTTTAAATTAAATACATATTTAATGCATGTATTGAATTACACGGCATGCGAGCTATTTATGCATTTGTTCAGTAGGGCAAGCCTTTACATAAATTAATAATGAATACGCAAAATACAATTTGAAATATTTGAGCTAATTTTAACTGGTACTATACTCATAAATTCAAGCATTGTTTATAGAACCTTCAAAATTGTGCAAAACATTAAATTTATATTTAATCCCTTATAAACAATATGTCAATTAAGGTATATTTCGTGGGCCTATTCACGCAAATGAAAAGCACCTAAAAATATACACAATTCTCACAATTTGTAATAAAAACAATATTTTATGAATGAATTCGCTTATTCTTTGAAACATTGCCTATAATTAGACCTCAAAAACCTTGTTTGACATTTCAAATCTAGCGATCAATAGACACAAATATATAGATTAATAAAACTTTTTAAAATATTTTTTGTTGTTTTATATATCCCATGATTAGCTGACAATAACGGGAGCCCTCAAGTGAATGCACCGGAAATACGGAAACACTCGTCAACACCGGTATCGGAAACGACACCAAAATATGAGCGAAAACTCGCGAAACCGTTGCACTCGACGGCCAATAGTGGCAAACATGTTGTGCCCAAAGCCAGGGATAAAGATAAGGACAAAGTGAGTCATCTTTTGATTTGACAAAAGTTATAATAAACAGATATAGTCTTTGGACTCCTACTGTAGTTCTAAATACTACCGGCGCTCTCGTAAAAAAACTTTTAACAAGCATTTGTATGTGAAAAAGATTGAGTGGATCTTAATTTGTTGAACTAAATTGTTAGCATAACTATGAAGTGCTGTGTTTTATGTGTTTTGAGAGACTTTTACCAAAATGTTTGATTTATAAATGTGGACTAAATTTACAAAAATGCATTCATATAATGAGCACCACATGTATGGATGGATAGGCACTCAGTATTTTAATTATTTGTAGATATTTTCTAATTATTTTTGATTTAATACTATCGGCTAGAGTGGGGCGGGTCTCCTATTTATATGATTTTAAAAATTCATTATATTTAAATTTTATTTTCTATGAGTGAACTAAATAAAGAATATATAAATATAAATTTTAAAAGTTTTCAACAAGATTAGTTTGTAAGCTAGTTATTAAAAATATTTTATTATTGGATATTTTTCTTTTTTAAGTACTATTTTCCGTGACATTAATACAAATGAAAATCTTATTTAACTCTACAGACAGTATACACGACAACGTTTGAGACCCAAGTGGACGCCCCGCCACCCCATCCCCTCGAAGAGCGTTTCCAAGACATCCAATTGGATGAGATTGAGGTCGAGACCAATCTGTTCGCACCTGAAGTGGAGGACGCGGTCATCAAAATACAGGCCGGAGTCAGAGGATATTTGGTCCGAAAACAGGTCAAAGAGTTGAAGAATAATGCCGTCAATGATGATGAGGAAGGTATGCATCCATTTAGCCGCCAATTATTTTACTCGTTTGAGAGATTTTTTACAAAAAATTATTTTAGTGAATATTTTTTAAACGTTTATATTAAGCCTGAATTTGATTTATATTTAAAAGTTTTTAATCCTTTTGTTAAATCCGATTAGTGTATCATGTATTATACGAATCGCTAGTTTTTATTTTGTGATATGACTTAATTAACTGCAGAGACTTCATAAACTTCAGCTTATGTCAAATGGGATCAGACATAAAGTTATTGGGTTAAGAAGTAGTCATAAAATTTATTTTGTTTTTCAAAACCTGATTATCATTTTAATGATCTTTCATTGAATCTGACAAATCACTTCAGACACACCGGTGGTTCCGCCTCCAAAACACTTTGACGATTTCGGAAGTGATGACAATCAGGGGTTAAGTCCTTTATGTGATTTAGAAAAATGGAAGAAATTGTCGCAACATTTGGAGGAAATAGTTAAAGACAACGCCGAAGATGTCAATGGATCTGCTGTTAAGACATCAGACGATAAGTCACCACAAGTGCCTATAACTGAAAATGTGATTCCACTGAAAGACAGTAACGATCATAAAGTGATCGAGACTTTTGACTGCAAGGAAAATATTTTAGACATTGAGTCTCCAGAAGTTTTGTCATCCATTAAGACGTCGACTGATGAGAAAGTGGTTGAAAAAGTATTTAATGTATTAATGGCTGAAACAGAGTTTGAAGACATGGAAACAATTGGAGAAAATGATAATATTATTTCTCAGGACATGAAGACTTTGGAGCAAATAAATAACAAAACAAATCGCTTGAATAGTACTGTTTCTGAGTCACAAGAATCGGAAGTGTTGGCAGAATTGAATCAAATTCTTGATAACGACGAGAAGAATATGAAGAATAATGAATTGAATGCAGA